TTACTAGATTTTATCGCTAAGATTTTTAATTCAAATTTGAATAATTTAGTATTTAATATTTATAATTCGAATTCAAGAGTAATACTGTTAGTAGACGGTTTTTATTTTTAATGATGGACAGGAAATAGACAGTAGACGAATACGGTATCTGGTTTCTGGAGGAAAATGACAATCTGTGATTATATATACCTACAGTATGTCTGCGAGGCCACTACACGACAATAAATTTAGGTAAATGCGATTACCTATGCAGAAATGACTAGTGAGAAAATTCTAATTGGATGTCAGCTAATTCCCAAAAATAATACTTTGAAAAAAGTTATTACGTTTTAAATTAATTTACTCAAAAATAATATTGACATTTTAAAAATTCTAAAAAATTAAAATACTTGACATTCGATGAATGTTTTTACCATCAAAATTGTTCAGATTTAAGAATTGGTGTTCTTGAAATGCTTCAAAAAATTTAACCGAAAAATTGTTAGTTTTCGGTTTCAAGAAATATAATTGGAAGAATGTATAGCATAAATATAGGTAGCACAAGAGTTTATAAATTGTACAAAAAAAAAACATAAAAGCAGTTAGTAATTTCTTTCTGTTACCGCCTGCAGTGTATAGATTAATCGACTTTCCGCACGGATGTAACATAATCAGTGCCGTGTAATGTACACTACTGGGACTTTTGGGCTACAGACGTAATTATTTTTGTACCTATTTACAAAATAAATATTACTACGACTGTATTTTTATGAAGCAGGTAAGTACCTACATCGCAGTGCACACGTTTATTTAATTCGCGGCGAATACCTACCGCGGTATACACCCGCCGACACTCGATACCGTGTTATCCGCGTCCATTAGGTAATTGCGCGCGCCGCCGACGGTCGGAAGGACCTTTACGCGGAATTACACCGACACCGGCCGGAGCACAGGACGCGTATTTATATCCTTGTAAGTAAGTAAGTTCGTATAATCGCCGGTCGTTGGACCGATTTTCCACGCTCGCCCCGTAATGACGTCGTTTGGAAGGATATAAAAACGCATTTCAGACGCACGCGTGCTTTTTTTGTCTTCCACCTCCTTTAGGACCCGATCCAATCGGCCGGCTCGTCCGCCGACCCATTGCGTAGATTATTATTATTATTATTATTATTATTATTATTATTATCGTCATCATCGTCGTCGTCATTATTATTATTTATGGCCGTACGAGTTTAGTTTAACGCCGAATGCCTTGCGTATATAATAATGTTATGTAGGTAGGTATATTATTACTATCATTACGATCCCGCGGTGATCTGACCTAGTTTTCTCATCCCGTAGGTATATAAATAAATTATTATTATAACAATATTAATCGATTGTATTATTATTACTATTTTTATTGTCGATCCAATAAAACCTTCCCGCAGTGTGCACTATACTCGGATCGAAACCTGCAGACCATTATAATAATGTTTATATTTCGGCAAAATATTATAATATGTATGCGACGCTCGTACAAGAATCACCACCACCCCAAAACGATCCTACAACATAATATGGTAGGCTTCCAAATGGCGTGTTTATGTTAGCAAATATGCGGTCAAAAATCGATAAGACACCGCTATATCGTAAATATAATAAAACAATATAATATCGGCTAATCGCCGTTTTCAATAATCCGAACAAAACATACTACGCCCAAGTGTTTTCAAACAATGCACTACTTTTGTCAATAATAGGATTTATCTGAGCTCGTGCGCAGTAGCGTGTCGCGTGTGGGCAAAAACAAAATTAAAAAGAAATATAAGTCATATCGTATTAGGCGACGAAATCCAGGGTACCTGAGAGTTTCAGCACAGATATATATTAAATTTAGAACTCCATCGCCCATAAGCTCCTAAAACGTGCAATAATAATCAACTAAGTTATCGCCCGATGACGAAAACGTTTTTGAGATTACCATTCATTTGTTTTCCTCGCAATCGAAGTGAAGAAGAATATTACAGTTTCATAAAATTAAAACAAATAAAATATAAATCGATAGTCAATAAAGCGTTTCGAACATATTTTACGATAAATAGCGAAAGTAGCAATATAATGCTGTATGCTGTGTCAATCCGGTGTACGAAAAATAACAATGTTCTGCTAGAATGGAAATGAATAATCCCTATTGACTACTACCTACTATAATATTATATAATGAGTCGTGATTGAGACGACGTACCTATAAATATTGGTATTTTATTTATATTTTGTACCATACTATTCATACCATTTAATACCTCGTATTAAAATATTATATTACACTTGTATCACTTGTATTATACTTTAGAACAATTAACCCTCGTAGCATACCGTAATATCGTATTATCCAACGTATTTTACACATTTTATACAGTAGGTACCATTTTATTTTACAAAATTTTTAATATTCTATTTATGTATTTATAAAAAAAATTATGCAAACTACGTGCATAAGCATTACTTGTGCAAATGGAAATAGATTACCGTTTAACAATGATTAAAACAAAAGAAGACCGAGATTTTAATGTGTTTTGTTAATGTTTACTATACTGATACAAATTTCCAGAAAAAAACAACGCAGATTAAAATTATTGCCTTACCTATAAAAAAGATCTTAAATTCTAAATGCCTATGGACATTAAATTAATAGACTTAACAATTGTCAAGTCCCAATAATAATCATTTATACGCTAATTATATTAAAATATTAATAATTTCTCGTAATGAATTAGAAATCACAATAAAAGTGATTTTTATAAAAAAAAAAGAAAATGAAAAAAATATATATTATCCCGTTGTGTGATATAACATAGTGCGTACAGTATAGGTGCCATTTCTTGTCATTAAAATTCACATCATTGTACCTATAAAGATTTACTCGATGTAGTAAATCGACGTGTTGCTCAAATCCTATTATTTTACGTATTATACGCAGGTATAATATTTTATTATCATATAAAATAAGCCAATGATCACGTCGTCGAGGCTTTTTCTTTTAAAAAAAATGTTTTTTTATTATTTGTTGTAAATAAACGACGACACAAGATATCACCGACAGACTATCAAGATTAATAAGTTGTGAGTCCAGAGTTATGTGTTGTTGAAATAACCACCTTATGGTTTCGGACGATGCTAAAAAATATTTTGAGAGTGTCAATTAAATATAATTTCACGTAAATTATTTCTGACAACGCAACACTGCGATTATTCTATACGGCTATTAATCAAGTTAGTAATATAACTATTTTAATATTTTGACTGAATTAGACACTATCGCAGAAATTAAAATCATTTTTCTAACCATTGAATCTTATATTATACCTATCTAGTTTCCGATGGTACGTTTGAAGTAAACCCGAAAAAACACTACGTTCACTTTTTTAGGAGTTTTTAGCTTTTTTTTTTATAAATGTCTCAAAAATAAAAATTGAAGTAAAAGTATGTCAGACGCAAGTCGATCGATGGTGATCGAGAAAGAAACTAGTAGGTAAGCCAAAAACCTCAGTTATTATCTGAATACGTCAATACATCTGAGATCTGAATGTAGAAACCAAAATATCTACACCAAATATAATTTAATTTAATTCTTTAATCACTTTTACATCTATAGTTGTCGACAACTTTTATCAACGTCATTCATTATTCATATATTTTGAATTAAAAAAAGTTATAAAATATTTCATAATTTAATTAATTGTCCGACCAGTCACTATATCTACTATTATACCTAAACAAAAAAATGTTAGACATGTGTACCTATATTAAAACATAATACAGTAGATCCTCATCATGTCGAACGTCAGTATTTAGAATTTTTCGTTACCTTGAACTTAACTGAAATCTCCTTAAAACTATACTGTTCCACTAAATTACTAATACAATGAAACTAGGTATGTCGAATTTTTCGAGATCTCCAACTTTTTACAACCCTTTAGTTAGACATAATGAAAATTCACATGGTTTTTCATAAGTAGAAAGTTTGATAATTTTCGGAATGTGAAGCCTTTAGATGATAGGTTATTTTCGAATTTCCAAGGCTTTTTTGACCACCATCATGGTAATAACCGCGCAATAGCATTTAGGCTAATGAATTATAATAGGTTCTTTTTTCTTAGGCCACATAATAAGTGTTTATTGATTATTAGTTTCCTTCGGCGAACCGTACTTTATACGAAAACTTTGTGGTTTTTTTTATTTAATTTTTTTAGCATCGTCTCTGTGCTGTGTGGTACTTTACTCAAAAACGCTAATGATGTCGAAAACTTGAAAGAACACCGAACATTTTACACGGTGTACGATTTCGCAAAAGTAACTTTTTTTAATTATTTATCCAACCTTATTTACAACACACCGTAGACCGCATTCGACATTTAAATGTCACATGTATACAACTAACACACGTGCGACCGACTAACGATCGTAGCGCCACATACATTGTACATCGGGACGGAAACGTAATCAAAAAGCGAATTTACATAATATTTTGTGTCGCCAATAGTTTTACATTAATTTGCAGTAACACAAAAATGTGAACGAAAAAGAATTCGGTCACCGGTATAGAAATATTGTTGTGTAAAAAGTAAAACCGCAATCGTCGGAGTCTATATTGGTATAGTAAATAATATGTGTTCTATGCACTTAGACTTTCGAATAATCCGAGCTGACACTATGTCAAAGTCCAAATTATAACTAGTCTGTTTAAACGTACATGACGTATACAAGTTATTATAAAACGATTGAACGGTTTACCTATATAGTTGAATTACGTGATCCGAGGACGACGACAACCATGGGATGCGATAATAATAATATTCCCGATTTTGTCATTCGCGACGAGCAACTCTTCACTATATATATATACATATATTTATAACTACGCACTCATGATATTACTATATAGTTGCTCGGAGCTATGTAATATAAAGGTAATATTATTATATAGAATAAGTGACACAATAAACCAGTACGGGTTCGCCTGACTCGATACATCACTTCGCACACACAAACAACGCGGTGGGGAGGGTAGTACTCATATCAGGAGACTTGTATATAAAGTCCGCCAACCGTGTCCAACAAACATCATTCAACGGGATCGCTTCCAATAATCAACACTCAACATGAAATTCGTAAGTACAACGCTAAAAATCCATAATCTTTAGTTCGCCAGTTATAACTGACCATAACATTCTCAAATAACTTGAAATGTAATTTAAAACGTTTGTGACTTTTTGGTGCTAACAGGCTACAGCTCTGGTCACTTTGGCGGTCGTAGCCCTCGTCCGGGCCGATGCGTCCAGCGCCGACAAGAAGACGACCAAACATGAAAAGAGGAGCTTGGGAGGTTTCGGTTCGGGACTAGTACTTTCCGGTCTCGGCTACAGCTCCGGTCTCAGCCACGGCTACAGCTCCGGTCTCGGCTACGGCTCCGGTCTTGGCTATGGCTCCGGTCTTAGCTACGGATCCGGTCTGGGCTACAGCTCCGGTTTGAAATACGGTTCAGGTCTTGGCTACAGCTCCGGTCTGGGATACGGCTCCGGTTTGAGCTCCGGCTACGGTCTGGGATACGGTTCCGGTTCAAGCTACGGCTCCGGCTTCGGTTATGGTTCCGGCTTTGGCTACGGTTCTGGTCTAGGATACTCCGCTGCCGCCGCTCCCGCACCGACAACCGGCCCCATCGTTCCAATCTCCAAGGAAGTGCACATCATCAACCGACATGCCCAACCTGTGTCCGCCCCGTACCCAGTGCCAGTAACTCACGACGTTGCCGTTCCCGTGCCACATGCAGTACCTTACCCAGTCGACAAACCATACCCAGTCCATGTACCAGCCCCATACCCAGTTCCAGTCGAAAGACCCGTCCCATACGCAGTCGACAGACCAGTTCCCCATCCAGTGCCATCACCTTACCCAGTCCCAGTTGTCCGTGACGTTCCAGTTCCAGTATCCAAGCCATACGCAGTTCCAGTCGTCAAACAAGTTCCAGTACCAGTGGCCACTCCAGTCGTCGTGCCCGCCGTCCACCACGCAGCACCATTGATCTCTACCGGTTACAGCGCCGGACTTGAATCATCTGCAATCGGTTTCGGTTCTGGTTACGGATCCGGATACGGCTCCAGCTACGGTTCCAGCTACGGATCCGGTTACGGACTTGGATCTTCAGCCATCGGTTACGGAGCGTCATCATACGGTTCCGGAAGCTTGTACGGTGGATCTTTGGGATACAGCACTGGAGGTCTGTCTTCATATGGACACAGCGCCCACAGTTTCGATTACAAGAAATAAATCTCTGGTATGATTCGCCTACCCATGCAGAAATTACACTGCATTGACGAAGATTATATTTAAGATTTATATTGTATCGTGTATATTGTGTATACACATATTATGTTCTTAGACAATTATTACAATTTTGTTTTTATATATTTTCAACTTTGTTAATAACCGATAGTTATTGACTGAAATAAAATAATAAATGTTTTTATTATATTATATACTCGTTTACTTGTTTGTCTTTTCTAAAAAAAAAAGTTCAATTCACAATACTTCTTGGGACAATTTCACAAAATATACATGCATATTCGCTCATCGTGTTTCAGGACAATACATGCAGTTATGTATTCAAAATACGATAGCAGCTATAGAGCTCTTAAAATTCAATCAGTTTTAAAAAAATCGGAGTTCATGTATCGACGAATATTCGATAGTTATTTCAGATAATATTCTAATAGCTAAGCAATAATGATTGCATAAAAAAATAGTGTTTTTTTTTTTTGATATAATTTTATTAAAAAATAAAAATTACTTATAAAAAATAAATTAAATTACATATAACGTCAGCGAAGAAATTTAAAAAAAAACTACATCAAAATTCATCCAGACCGATGATTTTAATGATCTGATAGTATTGTGCATGTACATATTATGCTAATTATTTATTCTGTTTTAATTAGTCGTGGTCGTGAAGTCTATATATTTGTATTATCCAAATCAAATTCTGGTTAAATTAAATTTTTATCAGGATTTTTGTATTTGGTTTTTTGATTTTACCTAGTGGTAGGCAACGGCAGTTGTTTAAACGAGTCAGGAATAAGATATAATTTATTAGAATATAAAAATGGCCCATTAAATGGAAAAATTGAGTTGGCCAATTCGAATATCGTGACCATAACTTATATTAACATACATATACTTGGCCTAACTTAAAAATATTTTATTATATTATACAACAATATTGAAATTATATATGCGTATTGCGTATTGTGTACTGTATTGTATATACTTAAATTATAATTTTAAAAATATGAAATAAATATATTCAACGACGCCACAACTAAAAATAAGGTAAAACATATTACATAAGATGGCATGTGTTACATTACGATTGTAATTATATTATAACTACAACAAATTTATGTAATAACTAATCCAAAAAAAGTTATTTCAAAATTATGAATACGATATTATAGAACTTTATTTCGTGTATTTCTGTACAACTAAATATGTAACATGTGCTTGCAGCGAATTTTATGTGTGATATAAAATATAAATTACTTTGATCCGAAAAACGAACTAATTTTTTTCTAATTGACTTTCTACAATACTAAAGTGCTCGTCATGAAATACTAAAATAACGCTTGGGACGATTAACGATTGACATAAAACGTATAATTTAATGGCAAAAGATATTCTTATAAAAATGTTATTATTGTATGAAAATAACATATACGTGATAAATTATTTACTGTTTATAATTTGCTAACTAAGGCATCATTTATAAGTTTATGAGGTCACCAAACCTTCTTTTCGTAACTTGTTTTGTATGTATTTTGTGTATTTTGTGAAAGCACTATTAATATTAAAATGCGTTTTCCGCTATTGGATAATATAGTGCGTGGATATTGTCAAAGATTTTCCCAGCATTCACCCATTGTTTTCAAATAGTTTATGCTAAAAAAAGGAGCTAAACTTAGTTCTAGTTTATTTAAAAATATAAATTAATTCTATTAATTAAGTTAAAGTGTAAAGTTTCAGCAAAATAATAACATAAGACACAAGTTATGTTCTCTTTTTTAAATATAATATTTATCACTGTAGAGCAGATGTCGGCAATTAATTTCGAAGGTAATCCGGATGAAAACATTTTCGTAAATAAATTTTTTTTTACTCAGAAAGTTATCTTGGGTCTATGCAAAGATAAATAATGAACAAAAATCAGCATTAATGTAAAATATTTTTGGCGGTCCATTTATTTCCGGTCTGGAATATGAATTATTTAAAAACAAATAAAACTAGGTATTCGCAGTGACACTATTATTTTTCTGTAAAAATAAAGGTCTAAGAAAAACCAATTCAAAACACAAGTATACATAAATGGCTACATCTTATTATATTAAACTGAAATCAATTATCTTATTAATCGGTATTGTTGATTGTACAACAAAATGTATTAAATTAGGCTCTACAAGTTCATCATTTTATTATATATGTCTGGAATAATAGATATTTTAACTAAAAACAGCAGCATGAAAAATAATATTTTAAGTTAAATTATTTACCTAGCACTGAACAATAACAAATGGAAATATAAAATTATGATTTAATGATAAATAGGTTGGTACTTTGTCACTATTATTAGCTACACTACTAATTTACTTACTGAAGTACTGGGTTTTGTATGCAGATTATGTTCTTTTTTAGATTTCATAATCCCATTCAGTAGGTTTCTGCAAAACATTGTTTCTTATATTGCTTAATTTTGTGTGCACGGGTCATCTATATTGTAAATTATAATCAAACATTTGTGTACAATCTCATGTAATATTATAATATTTAATTTATAAGATGTATATGCTATGCACATTGTCACTATTGTGTATTTTGTTTGAATAATATTATAATTTAAATAAATTAAATCAAAACACGTATTAAGATTCTTATCAGATTTTATTGAGATAAAAACATAGGTAATAGGTACACCATTTAAATAAATCTAATTGGATACTTGCTGGACATTGCTATAATTTTGTCGGTTCATGTCGACATTGTTGGTAATAAAATTAAAAAATTGAGTTAGTAAAACAATTTAATAATAACAATACTATATAAAATCAAAATATTATAACGAAATTATAACCAAAATACACACGGTATATAGACATTTGATTGTCCAGTTTCTCGTGAAAAATAATTTTGAATTAATAATTTTAGATTTGGCCGTTTACAGATAAGGCGATTACGTAAATACTAATAATAGGAAAAAATTACAGTTTACTGTCATTTGCTAATTAAAAGTTTCAACCGACAGATAAATTACTAATAAATAATGTATTTGATCCAGGATCAGGGTGAGAAATTCATAAACTCAAAAATAGCACTGGAACTATTTAAATTCTTGATGGTTGGTATTGATTTGAATTATTTGTATTTGAGGCTAGAATTCGAACCCTTGATTACGATTATCAGCAACAATTTCTTATCGCGGGGCCAAACTGTACCGACCCCCAATCTGACTTTACTACCAGCTCACAACAACCGACCAATTCAAACGATTACAATTACGCTACCTACTAGTCGGTGAAACAAATATGTTTTTTAATGTAATACATTATATACTGTAATGTTATCTAGGTACCCAAAAATGCAGTTTGTCACATTACGTGTCATTCCAAAGACGAAAACACAATTTAATCATCTCTAGAACTAACCGGCGTTGTTCATTATAATTGTAGGCATGCCTGCCAGAGGGTCGGACGCGAAAGTATAATATTGCTACAGAAATAAAGTATCTGGCCCTAAACAGGCACAATACTGCAGGGCCAGTTTATGTTATTCTTCAATTGATGTTAGTTATGTTGACGAACAATGTTAAAAAGCATACAGTTAATAGTTTACAATTTTTAAATTCTGAGCGTAGCGGTAAATGATAATTTAGCAATAATATGATCATATTATGATGTGTTTTTTTTTACATTTTTTTGAGTCTGTCCCTTTTTGGGTCGGTAAAAATGCTTCGATTTTCTACTTTAACATTTTCTTTGGCAGGAAAATAAACCTAGATGCTACTTTGGGGAGTCAAAAGTAAAAATTCACAATAATTTCCTAGTGTCAAGGAAAACAAAAAAAAAATTTTAAAACAGGAATCTTTGCGGATTACAGGTTTTTGACAAAATCGATTTTGTTTTTTTTTAGTTACTCAAAAATCAATAACCAAAGGTAGTTTCACCAATTGGCTTATACTATGATCATTTTCAATCCAAGATAATATTTTCAAAATCTTTCGACTCTTTTAAAGAGACATTTTCTAATTTATTTTAGCTATTTTTCCTACGAATATTACAAAAAAAAATTATCAAGAACCAAAAGCTTGACAATTTAATTCAAGATTTCTTATTAGTTTTTATTATGTAAATTCAAAAATATTAGAGATACACGGGCATACAAATTGCAAAGATAAGCTTTTAATATTACATTTTTAATAAATAAATCAATATTTCGAAAATATACAAATTATTTTATACTTAAAAGTGTATAAAATGTTCAATTTTTGAAATTAAGGATAGCAAATTTAGAACACGGTTTCTAGTAATTAAATAATATTGTAACCAAAAAATTTAAAAAAAAATATTAATACAATTATTTGTCAATTTTAAGTATGGGTACATAAATTGATGAAATGAGATATATAAACAAAGAATAACGATTATATTTGTTACTTGGTACTTTGTAGTAATTTAAAAATACGACGTAAAGAGGGACTTGAATACGTATAGGTAAAATTACTAGTATTACTTATATATTTTACTATAATAGACAATGAAACTTAAAAAAATTTAGAATCACTGTAAGTTATTACCTATTTATACCATATACATATACACACTGTTCTATCTCTGCGTAATAGAATGAGATATAGATAAACATTAAGTATAATAATAATTAATACTTAAATATGAACTTATTTGATAAATGCAATATTTTTGGCAACTTTGAACCTACCACAATACTAAATATCGAGATAAGTTACTTTAATACAATTAAAAAACATATCGTGAAATATATTTGAAATAGGCCGACAGACCATCTCCGCTCAGAATCGTTTTTCGTACACAATGATATCATTGATCGACTCGACTAGCTACTACAGCAAACAATAAACACTTAACTACCCTTTTTTTTTACTTGGTTCATTAAAAAAATATAGAAATTAACCATCGATTAAAAACTTCAGTAAAGATAAAATTATTTAAAAAGCAGATGGCTTAAAATATATGCCGATATAGGTAAAGTATCAAAAATAAATATTTTTATATAGATTTTTAGGCAACAAGCAGAATATATTATCAATTATATTCTCCAATGTGTACACTTGAGGATTACATTTAATATTACTTAATGTGGATTACGCACATAATATTAGAATA